TTCTGATTGCTTCATGTGCTTGCCAGCATTTGACATTGTCCATTTCCATTTCCTTCATTTTAGCTATTTTAGTCAGTGTAGTGTGGTATTATAATTTTTTTTTTAACTTTTTGGAGTTTGTTTAATTCAGATTCAAGTAAGATTCATACATTCCAGTTTTCCAGTTGGTTGCCTCTTACATATTTTCTATTCTGTATGGGTTTTCCCTCCCTTTCTCTCATTTCTTTCTTTTTTTTTTTTTTTTTTTTTTTGGTCTTATTTTGGAATAATTTTTTGTATTTTTTAAATTTTATTTTCTTAAATATATAGAAAAATAGAAATGGAGTTTTCCGATGTTGTCCAGGCTGGTCTGAAACTCCTGGACTTAAGAGATCTGCCCACCTTTGCCTCCCAAAGTGCTAGATTACAGGTGTGAGCCATAGTGCCCAGCCAGTTTTAGGTTTACTGACTTTGCAAACATAGTACAGAGAGTTCCCATATGCCCTTCATCCTGCTTCCCCAAATGTTAACATCTTACGTTATAGTACATTTGTCAAAATTAAGAAATGAACATTGGCTGGGTGTGGTAGCTCTTTCCTGTAACTCACTTTGAGAGGCTGTGGTAGGAGAATCGTTTGAGTCCAGGAGTTTGAGACCAGCCTGGGCAATCTAGCGAGACCCCCATTGCTACAGAAAAATTTTAAAATTAGGTGGGTCTGGCCGGGCGCGGTGGCTCACGCCTGTAATCCCAGCACTTTGGGAGGCCGAGGTGGGTGGATCATGAGGTCAAGAGATTGAGACCATCCTGGTCAACATGGTGAAACCCCGTCTCTACTAAAAATATAAAAAATTAGCTGGGCATGGTGGCGCGTGCCTGTAATCCCAGCTACTCAGGAGGCTGAGGCAGGAGAATTGCCTGAACCCAGGAGGCAGAGGTTGCGGTGAGCCGAGATTGCGCCATTGCACTCCAGCCTGGGTAACAAGAGCAAAACTCTGTCTCCAAAAAAAAAATTAGGTGGGTGTGGTTGCACATGCTTGTATTCTTAGCTACTTGGGTTGGGGAGGCAGGAGGATTGCTTGAGTTCAGGAGTTTGAGGTTGCAGTGAGCCATGTTCACACCAGTGCACTCCAGCCTGGTCGACACAGCAAGACCGTATCTCAAAAAACGGAAAAAAGAAATGAACATTGCTGTAATACTAGTAACTATAGATTTTACTCAGATTTCTCTGGATTTTCCCCAAATGTCCTTTTCTGTTCCAGTATCCAACTGGGGATCCCACATTGCATTTAGTCATCATGTTTTCTCCAATCTGTGACAGTTTCTTAGGTTTTCCTCTTTTGTGACCTTGACAGGTTGAAGTGTGTTTTGTACAGTGTCTCTCAATTTTATCTTCATAGGTTTGATACTTTATCATGATTAGATTTGGATGATGGGTGTTTAGGTGGAAGATCACAGAGTTAAGTGCCTTCTCATTTTACTGTGTCAGATCAACACTGGTGATGTTAAAAAAAAAAAATGAGCAACTGCCGGGTGCGGTGGCTCACGCCTATAATCCCAGCACTTTGGGAGGCTGAGGTGGGTGGATCACGAGGTCAAGAGATCGAGACCATCCTGGTCAACATGGTGAAACCCCGTCTCTACTAAAAATACAAAAAATTAGCTGGACATGGTGGCGCGTGCCTGTAATCCCAGCTACTCAGGAGGCTGAGGCAGGAGAATTGCTTGAACCCAGGAGGCGGAGGTTGCGGTGAGCCGAGATCGTACCATTGCACTCCAGCCTGGGCAACAAGAGTGAAACTCTGTCTCAAAAAAAAAAAAAAAAAATGAGCAACCAGACACAAGAGATGCATGATGCAGGGTGTGTGTAGAAAGGGGCACAGAGCTTTCCTGTCCTCTCTGGGTACACACCCTCCAAGTATTCAGCAATTCGGAAGCTTCTCTCTATCATTTCTTATTATTTGTTTGATTTTTAAAAACTAGATTGTCTGTCTTACAGATGTTAGTACAGTCTGGATTTTGTTGATTAATGTGTTCCTCTGTCTTCTTTGTTTCCTATAAATTAGTAGTTACATTTAATGACTACTTCAGATTCTTTTAGGATCATTGTCTGGATCTGCTCATTCACCAAGGATTGCAAAACATTAATCTTAATTCTATCACCCATTTTAATTTATGAGTTAAAAATTTCTCATTATGTGGTCCCTCTGAATAAAGTTTGTACAGGAAAGGAAAGATAAATGGTGATTACTTCCCACTTACTATGTTTGAGAATATGCATTGGCTCCTTAGCAACCTCCACATATTTAAAATATTTGCTGTGTTTCAGTCCTTTGTGATTATTATCCTTATTGATGCTCAAAATACTCCATTTTTAGGTAACAGAAACCTCTGTAAGTTGACTTCTGAATCTTTTTGATATGACCTTTATAGTCTTTAAGAGCTTCTTTGCTGCTGGGCACGGTGGGTCACACCTGTAATCCCAGCACTTTGGGAGGCTGAGGGTGGATGACCTGAGGTCAGGAGTTTGAGACCAGCCTGACCAACGTGGAGAAACCCTGTCTCTACTAAAGATACAAAATTAGCTGGGCGTGGTGGCGCATTCCTGTAATCCCAGCTACTCAGGAGGCTGAGGCAGGAGAAACACTTCAACCTGGGAGGCGGAGGTTGCAGCCCCATTGCTCTCCAGGTTAGGCAGCAAGAGCAAAACTTTGTCTCAAAAAAAAGAAGAGCTTTGCTTTTTCAGTATGACAGAGTGTTCTAGTCTGGTCTTGTACATTTCCTGACCCAGACCTGGAATTAGCTTTTTCTTTAAGGAGTCCTGGTTCCTTTTAGTTGGATAGTATTTAAAGACTACAAACTGGGTAGTAGAAGTGCTCATTGCTAGTGGGTCGGTCATTTTTTCTAGACTTTTTCAATGAACAGTGTTAAGAAATTATGAGTGAGTTCATAATAAAAGTTTAAATATAAGACCACAAGGGTTTTCTTTGTTTGTTTCTTGTTTTTTTTTTTTTTCAGACAGAGTTTCTTGCCCAGGCTGGAGTGCAGTGGTGCAGTCTCGACTCACTGCAGACTCTACCTCCTGGGTTCAACAGATCCTCCCGCCTAAGCCTGCCAAGTAGCCGGAACCACTGGCGGCAACCACCATGGCCAGCTAATTTTTGTAGTTTATGTAGAGACAGGGTTTTGCCATGTTGCCCAGGCTGGTCTTGAACTCCTGAGCTCAAGCAGTCCACCCACCCAGGTCTCCCAAAGTGCTGGGACCACAGGTATGGGCCAGCACTCCCAGCTCATTTTTGTAGTTTTTGTAGAGATGGGGTTTTGCTATGTTGCCCAGGCTGGTCTCAAACCTCTGAGCTCAAAAAATCCACCCATCTAGGGCTCCCAACATGCTGTGATTACAGGCATGAGCCACCATGCCTGGCCAACTACAAGGTTTTTGTATAACCTCTCAGATCTTACAGCTAGATTTTTTTTTTCTTCAATGCCAAAAATTACACTTGAGTAACACTAGCCAACGTAATTATTTATTTGATTTACCTCATAACCTATACACATATAGTAATTTAAAAATAACTGTCAATACTAAAGAATGATTTAAGATTTGGCAATTTCTTTTGTTTTGGAGGTATATCCTACTTAGAGATATTTAGTAAAATTACAGTGTTTCAAAATCACTTGAAATAGTTTCTTTCTGTGTGTTTATGCCTTCAAATTGATTTCCAAGTTTGTTACATTTTGCGTTTTATTCTTAAGATTTTGAAATTTATTTTTATTTTTTGGGACAGAGTCTCGCTCTGTTGCCCATACTGGAGGGCAGTGGTACAATCTTGGCTCGCTGCAACCTCTGCCTTCTGGGGTTCAAGCAGTTCTCCTGCCTCAGCCTCCCGAGTAGCTGGGACTACAGGTGTGTGCCACCACACCTGGCTAATTTTTGTATTTTTAGTAGAAATGGGGTTTCACCATTTCTATGGGGTTGGCCAGCCTCTTCTTGAACTCCAGACCAATCAGAAAAGTCTGGCTTTTATCCCTCTTCTTTCTACCCTGTTCTCTTTCTTCTTCCCCATAGGTAACCTTTTTTTAAAAAAATGTGTGGTTTATTCTTCCATTTAAAAAAATACGTACATAGTTGTATTTTCCTCTTTCTTAGCTAAATGGGAACATACTAAAATTATTTATCTTGGGCGGGTGCAGTGACTCAAACCTGTAATCCTAGCACTTTGGGAGGCCGAGGCGGGTGGATCACGAGGTCAAGAGATCGAGACCAACCTGGTCAACATGGTGAAACCCCGTCTCTACTAAAAATACAAAAAAATTAGCTGAGCATGGTGGCACGTGCCTGTAATCCCAGCTACTCAGGAGGCTGAGGCAGGAGAATTGCCTGAACCCAGGAGGTGGAGGTTGTGGTGAGCCGAGATCGCGCCATTGCACTCCAGCCTGGGTAACAAGAGCGAAACTCCGTCTCAAAAAACAAAACAAAACAAAAAAACTTTATCTCTACCTCTGTGTTAAGTTTCAAAATGTGTATATATCTGCATGAATTGCATGGCATTTATAGGTGATCTGGAGGCCCTTCTAGCTAATGGTGGATATGAGTGGGAGAGGTGGACAACTAATAAGAAGGTACTTTAGTTATCTTCATCATTCAACTATAAACTAGTATTACAGTTGAGGTTCCTAGATTCCTTTTTTTGTTTTTATTTCTGAGATGGAGTCTCGCTGTGACGCCCAGGCTGAAGTGCAATGGTGTAATCTTAGCTCATTGCACCCTCTGTTTCCCGGGTTCAAGCGATTCTCCTGCCTCAGCCTCCCGAGTAGCTGGGACCACATGCCCGACTAAGTTTTTTATTTTTAGTAGAGATGAGATTTCACCATATTGGCCAGACTGGTCTCGAACTCCTGACCTCAAGTGATCTGCCCGCCTGGGCCTTCCAAAGTGCTGAGATTATAGGCATGAGCCACCATGCCTGGCCCCTAGATTCCGTTTTATCTCTGTTCTTAAGCAAAACTTTTTTCTCCTTAGACCTCAGATTTTCCTGTCCTTGATCCCAGCTGGACTGCTCAAGAAGAAATGGCCCTTTTAGAAGCTGTGATGGACTGTGGCTTTGGAAATTGGTAAGAACGTCGTGTTAAGAGTTGTCCTGCCCTAATGGGCTCAGAAAAGAAGCTGTTGTTGAAGAGTAAAGGAAGGAACCTCAGGAAGAGAAAGTATATATTGCTTTCTTATCAACCCATGATTTAGAGACAAGTTTGTCCCCTTTGTACATTAGTCTTCCAGTGCCAAAATGTGTCACAAGAATATGGTATGTTTAGCGGTCCATATCTGAACCACTTTTGATGTATCACCAATGGAAAGATTGATTATTCCTTTCTGAATAGTAGCGAAGTTTAGTTTCGTTAGTTATTGCTCCCTTTTGATTTTATGTATTTTTGTTGGTTATAGATGCCCTAGTCATTTAAGTGAACTGGACTTTAGCTAGATGGTCATACTTAAGATTCAAGTTTCACAGACTTTCTGATAACATTCTGTGTTTTTAGCTTTCCTGCTTTAGTCCAAGACTGGCTGAATTGGACAGCACTCATTGCTGTTGCCCTAGGGGGCAGCACCACTTAATAATAATACCCCCACTTTAATTTTTACCTTTGGGAACACTTTCATATGGATGATTTTATTTTATGAACTAGATAGCGGAGGCATTATTGAATATATTTTGTTCACATATTATCTGAAGCCCAGGGGGTTGAAATGATTTCTCATAATTGCAAAGCTTATTATTGAAGGACTCTTAATTAGGTCCTCCCTCTCCTGACTTGGTAGTGTATGTAATCTTTCTTGGTGTTCACGGAATAAACTCTGCTGCCTCCCTGAAGTCCAAGGACCTGAAAAAGGAGACCTGAATTTATTTCACATTTTGCTTGTATTCATTCATTCAGTATTTATTAAGCATCATAAAATACTGTGTACAACGAGGAATACCAAAGGAGGTAGAAAAGTAATCACTTGTGAGGAGCTTGCTAGTCATCTTTGGCCTAGTTTTTAAAGTTTTACTTACCATCATCTCTAAAATAGGCTAATCTTCTCTGTCTGTCCTCCTCTCTTAACAAAGAACACAAAAAAGATACCGCTTCTCTACTCACTGTGGGTAAGGCACTAAATGTGGCAGTTGGTGGGCTAGAGCTAAGAATTACGAGATGCATCCTGCCTTCAGGAAGCTTATAGTTTAGCAGGGGACTCAAAATATCTGTACAAGTGATTGAAGTACACAAAACAGAATACAGTGAGTGATGCCTCAGGGGAGGACAGGCGGAAAAGGGGCCTTGGGGAGAGGGCTCCCACCTCCACCTCTCCGTCACCTTGGCTCAAGTCAGGGTTGTTTTTTTTTTGTTTTTTTAAATTGAGACAGTCTCACTTTATCACCCAGGCTGAAATGCAGTGGTTCGATCACAGCTCACTGTAACCCTGAACTCCTGAGCTCAAGGGATCTTCTCTCCTCAGACTCCCAAGAAGTTGGAACAATAGGTGTGTGCCACCATACTCAGCTAATTTTAAAATTTTATTATTATTTAAAGACAGGATCTTGCTCTATCGCTCAGGCTGGAGTACAGGGCATGATCTCGACTCACTGCGTCTTCGACCTTCTGGGCTCAAGTGATGCTGTCCGCTCAGGCTTCTGAGTAGCTGGGACTACAGACATGTGCAGCCATCCCCAGCTAACTTTTGTATTTTTTGTTGAGATAAGATTTTACCACATTGCCCAGGCTGGTCTTGAACTCCTGGGTTCAAGTAGTCCTCTCATCGTAGCCTCCCAAAGTGCTGGGATAACAGGTGTGCACCACCGTGCCTGGCCAGATTCTTTTTTTTTTTTTTTTTTGCGGTTTCTCTCTTGTTACCCAGGCTGGAGTGCAATGGCGCGATCTCGGCTCACCGCAACCTCCGCCTCCTGGGTTCAGGCAATTCTCCTGCCTCAGCCTCCTGAGTAGCTGGGATTACAGGCACGCGCCACCATGCCCAGCTAATGTTTTGTATTTTTAGTAGAGATGGGGTTTCACCATGTTGACCAGGATGGTCTCGATCTCTCGACCTCGTGATCTACCCGCCTCGGCCTCCCAAAGTGCTGGGATGACAGGCATGAGCCACCGCGCCCGGCACACTGGCCAGATTCTTAAGCAAGTTTATTAATTCTCTTGGACCTAATTTTTTCTTCTTTGAAATTGAGTTAATAACAATACCCATACCACAAATTTAATACACGGTTTAACTTAAATTCTGTTGTGAATATTTCTAGCTCAGTGTCTGGCATCTCACAGCACTAGTAAGGAAATGTTAGGCCCGGCACGGTCACTCACGCCTATAATCCCAGCACTTTGGGTGGCTGAGGCGGGTGGATCACAAGGTCAGGAGTTCAAGACCAGCCTGGCCAAGATGTTGAAACCCCGTCTCTACTAAAAATATAAAAATTAGCTGGGCATGGTGGCACACGCCTGTAATCCCAGCTCCTCAGGAGGCTGAGGCAAGAGAATCGCTTGAACCTGGAAGGCGGAGGTTGCAGTGAGCTGAGATTGTGCCATTGCACTCCAGCCTGGGTGACAGAGTAAGACTCTGTCTCGGGGAAAAAAAAAAAAAAAATGTTTACATGAGTGTTTGGTAAACCATAAAATATTATGCAAAATAAAATTTTATTTCTGTCTATTTTGAATGTTCTGAAGTCACTTATTATTTATAGCAATTATTTCTCTAGGGCCTAGCTCACAGGAGAATTTACAGATTTTCCTGTCATCTTCTTTAAGTGGAAAGGAAAGGGCTTCTTTTTTTTTTTTTTTTTTTTTTTTTTGAGACGGAGTTTCGCTCTTGTTACCCAGGCTGGAGTGCAATGGCGCGATCTCGGCTCACCGCAACCTCCGCCTCCTGGGTTCAAGCAATTCTCCTGCCTCAGCCTCCTGATTAGCTGGGATTACAGGCACGCGCCACCATGCCCAGCTAATTTTTTTTGTATTTTTTTAGTAGAGACGGGGTTTCACCATGATGACCAGGATGGTCTCGATCTCTCGACCTCGTGATCCACCCGCCTCGGCCTCCCAAAGTGCTGGGATTACAGGCTTGAGCCACCGCGCCCGGCAGGAAAGGGCTTCTTAGTCAGTATTTCTGTGTCTCAGACTAGCAAGATTCGGAACATCAGATTACACCAATCTAGGCTTCTATTTGTCTCATTGTTCTGCCGATACCTTCATGATACCAGTTCAGAAATAGCAGAGTGCAGTCATTATATGGATATGACTTAAAATATTGAAAGAGCAAATGATGCTGCTATTATTATGTATAAATTAGAGTCCTACTTTCTTCTTTCTTTTTTCTAACAATCCTCTAGGCAGGATGTAGCCAATCAGATGTGCACCAAGACCAAGGAGGAGTGTGAGAAGCACTATATGAAACATTTCATCAATAACCCTCTGTTTGCGTCTACCCTTCTGAACCTGAAACAAGCAGAGGAAGCAAAAACTGCTGACACAGCCATTCCATTTCACTGTAAGTGCCTCCCTGTCTTGATCAGAGACACTTCACTCATCCTTGGGCCTTGTTTCAGTAGCAGATAAACAGTGATTTGATGACTTGGACAATTAATGATACCATGGAAGATAGGAGGACTTAGTATGGCAACTATTAAGAGTCAGGATTGGCCTGGCGGAGTGGCACATGCCTGTAATCCCAGCACTTTGGGAGGCCAAGGTAGGCGGATCACTTGAGGTCAGGAGTTCAAGACCTGCCTGGCCAACATGGTGAAACCCTGTCTCTACTAAAAGTCTAAAAGTTAGCTGGACATGGTAGCACACAACTGTAATCCTAGCTATTCAGAAGGCTGAGGCAGGAGGATCACTTGAACTAGGGAGGCGGAAGTTGCGGTGAGCCAAGATCAGGCCACTGCACTTCAGCCTGGGTGACAGAGTGAAACTCCATCTCAAAAAAAAAAAAAAAGAATCAGGATCAGGCCGGGCGCGGTGGCTCACGCCTGTAATCCCAGCACTTTGGGAGGCCGAGGCGGGTGGACCACAAGGTCAAGAGATCGAGACCATCTTGGTCAACATGGTGAAACCCCGTCTCTACTAAAAATACAAAAAAAAGTAGCTGGGCATGGTGGTGCGTGCCTGTAATCCCAGCTACTCAGGAGGCTGAGGCAGGAGAATTGCCTGAACCCAGGAGGCGGAGGTTGCGGTGAGCCGAGATCGCGCCATTGCACTCCAGCCTGGGTAACGAGCGAAACTCCGTCTCAAAAAAAAAAAAAAAAAAAAGAATCGGGATCAAATGTGGCAAAGAAGGAACATATTCTAAGGGTCAAGAGTTCTATACAGGACATCAAGGTGCTTGAAGCCACAATGTGTAGTTCCACATACCGTGAGTCCTTTGAACATATCAGTTAATGTCATTGCTTTCTTTTGTAAAATAAGATGTCAAAAAGGGAGTCTTGTTTCTATGCTGTTGTGAGTACAAGTTTTTTTGTAATCCCTTTGGAGAGTTTATAACCATACATACGAGTTGCTTAGAGAATACAGTATTGGACTCATTATTATTCATTGCCCCAGTATCGCTCCCAAGAAGCAGTTTGTTATTTTTGTTCACTTGGTTGTGGCAGTGATGGTGAACTTTTTAATCTCATGTGCCTCTGGGACCAGTGGATCTCTTAATAAAATATAACCAAAAACATGATGAATTATAAATGACCATCTTTCCTGAATGACTCCCAGGGCACAAGTAATGAGATAAGAATGGTTTCCGTTCCCTTTTCTCTTTCCTCATACCCTCTAGAAACAGTTTTATAGTTGACTAACTTAAAGGCTGGTGTTACCTCCCCTTTTTTTTGAGAGGTCGCAGTGAATGCACCCTCTACTCACTGCAACCCCCACCTCCTGGGTTCAAGCAGTTGTGCCTCAGCCTCCTGAATAGCTGGTACCACAGGCGCATGCCATCACAGCTGGCTAATTTTTTGTGTTTTTAGTAGAGACGGGATTTTGCCATGTTAACTAGGCTGGTCTCAAACTCCTGACTTCAGGTGATCTGCCGGCCCACCTCAGCCTCCCAAAGTGCTGGGATTACACATGTGAGCCACTCCCAGCTGATAACCTCCTATTTGGATAGCACTTTGATGTTAGCATTTTGTTCTCAAATCCATTAGACCGTTGGTTTCCCAACAACAATCCAGTGAGATGGGCAGAGCAAGTGCTTTTGTTCTACACACTAGGAAACCAATTCAGGAAGGTTAGTTTGTGCAGAGTCATGCGACTAGTGTGTGTTACAGCTGGGATTTAATTCAAGCTAACTTCCAATTCCAGTGTTTGTTTTTTTTTTATCCCCTTTGGTTTTGGTTTTTGTTTCTGTTTTCTTTTTGCCTCTCAGTTGGATGAGTTTTGTAAGTTGAAATTAGTCCAAAGGGGGAAGGGAGCTGAAGTTAACAGGGTAAATATTTAGGTTCTGTAATATTAAAAGAAAAAAATCATAGTTTCCTTTCATTTTAGGAAAACAAATCAGAAGAAATTTCTCTATATTTACTTAAAGGATTGCCTGAGTCTTAGTTTTTCTTTTTAAAAAATCTGTTCCCATAATACTTAATCTTTTTCACTTTTCCTTTTAGAAAAAGCATTTTAGGTTTTATTTATTATTGGACTATTTTTATGTCATTTTTTCATGCCAATATTGTATTAATTAACTCAGAAAACTTCTAAATTCTTCCAGCTACAGATGACCCTCCCCGACCGACCTTTGACTCCTTGCTTTCTCGGGACATGGCCGGGTACATGCCAGCTCGAGCAGATTTCATTGAGGTAGGAGAAACGTGTTTTTAGCACAAAGTAGGAAAAACTTGTTTTTATTTCTCATGAGCCTTCTGTCTCACCATAGATTCCATACAACTAAAAGATTTTTTTCAAAGTACTATAATTTATAGGGCCTTTAGACAGCCACATTTTCTTATGTGAGTGCCTTTTCTCATTTGTAAACATTTTCACATATGGAACAGTAAAAGTTCTTTAAACAAAAAACCTGTTTCTGGGCTGGCCATGGTGGCTCATGCCTGTAATCCCAGCACTTGGGAGGCCGAGGAGGGCAGATCATGAGATCAAGAGATCGAGACTATCCTGGCCAACATGGTGAAACCCCGTCTCTACTGAAAATACAGGAATTTGCTAGACGTGGTAGTGCATGCCTGTAGTCCTAACTACTCGGGAGGCTGAGGCAGGAGAATCACTTGAACGCAGGAGGCGGAGGTTGCAGCAAGCCAAGATTGCGGCCACTGCAATCCAGCTAGGTGACAGAGTGAGACTCCATCTCAAAACAAAACAAAATTTTAAAAACCCTGTTTCTGGCTGGGCACAGCACAGTGGCTCACACCTGTAATCCCAACACTTTGGGAGCTGAGAATGGAGGATTGCTTGAGTCCAGGGGTTTGAGACCAGCGTGGGCAACATAGTAAGATCCTGTCTCTACAAATAAAAAATTAGCTTGGCATGGTAGTGCATGCCTGTAGTCCCAACTACTTGGGAGGCTGAGATGGGAGGATCACTTGTGCCTGGGAGGTTGAGGCTGCAGTGAGTAGTGATCATTCCACAAAACTGCACCCTAGACAACAGAGCAAGACCCTGTCTTCAAAAAGAAAACCCCGAGAAAACCCATTTCTTAAGTTGCATCAGTGCTGGCTTCCACTTTCTTAGGTATGAAATTTCTGTAGTCTGGTTCTTGTATACCTAGGGGCTTTCAAGATTGTACTTTATCTGGGGTTAGCAGACTTTTTTTATTAAAGGCCAGATAGTAAATATTTTAGGTTTTGTACGCTATAAAGTTTCTGTTGTAACTACACTTTGTTGTCATTGTGCTAAAGCAGCATGGGATAATACAGAGAAAAATGAGTATGCCTGTTTTCCAGTAAAACTTTATGTACAAAAACAGGCAGTAGACTGGATAGTAGTTTACTGACTCCTGTCATATATCCACAGGTATATAAAGAATGACAAATGTGTATAAAAACTGTATGTTCCTTGCTCAGCCGTGAAATTAAAAGTCATGTGAACGTAGCCACAAGTCTCTTGATTTATCATCTAATTCACAACTTGAAAGATAGTTTGGCCAAGTGCAGTGGCTTACACCTGTAAATCCCAGCACTTTGGGAGGCTGAGACAGGCAGATGGCTTGAGCTCAAGAGTTTGATACCAGCCTGGGCAACATGGCAAAACTCCCGTTTCTACAAAAAAAAAAAAAAACCCCAAAACCAAAAATTACCTGGGTATGGTGGCACGTGCCTGTAGGCCAAACTGCTTGAGAGGCTAAGGCAAGAGGATCACTTGAGCCTGGGGGTTTGAGGCTGCAGTGAGCCAAGATCACACCATTGCACTCCAGCCTGAGTGACAGAGTGAGACCCTGTCTCCCCAGAAAAAAAAAAAAGTAATCCAAGATCTTGAAGATAACTTGAAAGTTTAGCAAACTACAGGCAGTTTTGTTCGTGACGCCCAGGTCAGCATTTTGTTCATGGCCGGTAATTCTGTAAGAATTGCCCTGTAGACTCTATACCCATGCATTATACTCACTGAATAGAATATTAACAAATCTACCCACTGAACTGTATAAGTAGTATTACTGAATAAACAGACCCCTCAAAAGATAAAAGGTAGATTATTAAATACAGTTTTCTTACCTAAATACTTAAAAGTCTAATCAAGTTAAATATTCTGAGGAATGAACTGACTTTATTTCTTTCAGAGACAGGATCTTGCTCTATTTTCTAGGCAGTCTTGAATTCTTGGTCTTGAGTGATCTTTCCACCTATACCTCCTGAGTAGCTGGGATTACAGGTGCATGCCATTGTGCGTGGCTCAGACTAATTTTAGTTTTTAGAGCAATATGTTTAGCTTTACTCCTAAACTCATAACTATTCCAATTTTTTCTTGTCACTACTGCATGTAAGCCTCTTAGATTTTTCCCATGACTTCCTATTACCTGTGTCAGTATTGTGGCCTTTTACCCTATTCAGTTTTTTTTTTTTTTTTTTTTTTTTTGGTGACGAAGTCTCACTCTGTCACCAGGCTGGAGTGAAGTGGTGCTGTTTTGGCTCACTGCAGCCTCCACCTCCCAGGTTCAAGGGATTATCCTGCCTTTGCCTCCTGAGTAGCTGGGATTACAGGTGTGTGCCAACATGACCGACTAATTTTTGTAGTTTTGGTACAGTTGGGTTTTACCGTATTGGTCAAGCTGGTCTCGAACTCCTGACCTTGTTATCTTCCTGCTTTGGCCTCCCAAAGTGCTGGGATTACAGGCGTGAGCCACCGTGCCTGGCCTATTTAGTCTTTTTTAACAAGTGTTTGCTTATGTATTTTCTGTTTACTTCTAAAGCATGTCTACTACAAAGACATTAATCAAAGCTGATGGGTTTGGGGTGGGGATTTTTTTGTTCCTCCAAACAGGAATTTGACAATTATGCAGAATGGGACTTGAGAGACATTGATTTTGTTGAAGATGACTCGGACATTTTACATGGTAACAGTTTACTTTGTCAAATGTTTATTGAGCACCAACTATGTGATGCCACTGTCTTGGGTGCTAGGAATTGAAGGATGAATAAACGTATCTCCTGCCCTTACAGAATAAAAAATCTAGTGGTTAAGTTGCTGAACTTACTCTGTTGTGGGATTTTGACCACAGTGAATAAAATTTATAATGAGGATAAAAATATTGAGCATATAATAGTAGTTGGAAATACCCATTGGACTTTGTGATCGTTCTTTTATCTAAGTCTACACTAAGGTAATTGGTTAAATGGCCCTCACTTGCCTTCTTAGAAGGAGGGGAATCCGTTTGAATTCTTGGGACTTCAGTAGCAACTGCTAATAGTAAATGTTCACTATATTTTATTACCCCAAATTTCCCATAGCAAAGAAAAGAATGGAAATTTCTCAAGAGTTTTTAGGTCCAAATGGGGGATTTCTTGTTTCTCAGGACTATTGAATTTTCAACACTGCTGAATTCTTTTTTTTTTTTTTTCTTTTTGAGACAGAGTCTCGCTCTGTCATCCAGGCTGGAGTGCAGTGGCGCAATCTTGGCTCACTGCCACCTCTGGCTCACTGCAACCTCCGCCTCCCAGGTTCAAGAGATTCTCCTGCCTCAGCTTCCCTAGTAGCTGGGATTACAGGTGTCTGCTACCACACCCAACTAATTTTTGTGTTTTTATTAGAGATGGGGTTTTGCCATGTTGGCCAGGCTGGTCTCAAACTCCTAACCTCAAGTGATCTGCTCACTTTGGCTTCCCAAAGTGCTGGGAATACAGGCGTGAGCCACCATACCTGCCCCAATATGCTGAATTCTAATCTTTGATTAGCCCTCTAAGGGTTTATGTTAACTCTTTTCCTAAAACTTAAGTGGTGAATGCCACAGGGCTGTTAAGAGTAGATGATTAGACTTTGAGTCTCTTTTTTCCTTCTTTCCATTTTCAGTGAACTACATACTAATATATACTAATACTACATAATAATCCCCAATCCTTTTTTTAAATATTAGTTCAGAATTGAATATGATGCAGATCAGTAATGCTCTATTGGAATTGTATTTCCCCAACAACATCATTATTTCTATTAAATTTACGTCCCAGGCAGGACATAAAGTAGAATGCTTGTTAAATTATAAATCAAGTTGTCATGTTGCATGAACTGGTACACTGTCCGTAGAAGGGGAACTTGATTCTTTTCTCTCCATAGAAGAGCTACCTGGATATTTGTTTTACCAGATTTAAGATAAAGAAGTAGTCCTCATAAAAAATTTTACCTTAAGAAATTTTTCTCTACACATTTCTTGAGCAATGCTTTTTTTTTCCTGCAAAATTTTATTCCTCCTCTTCTCCCACACAGCTTTAAGGAAAGTCAGAGTGATGCAGATTGAACTAAAAGAGGAAAGCTTGAAACCAAACTACTTTAGCGTTCACTGAATCCATTGTATTTCTTCAGCCTTCCATGTCAGGCTCTTCTCTTCGATCCCAGTGACTCATGTTGTCTTTTCTCGCCTCTCGTGGTGTTTCCTTTGAAGGTAGTATGCTGACTGCCATTCTGTATTTCTCCTCATACACACCAGCTTTAACTAAAATGGTACTGTTTCCTGGCTTGTATCTTTCTTATAGAAAGCCAGACTACTCTATGCACAAGGGGCAGCTTCATAAATATCATTCTTTTAGATACTGTTCAAAAATACCAAATTTTTGGCTGGGCATGGTGGCTCACACCTGTAATCCCAGCACTTTGGGAGGCTGAGGCTGGATGATCTGTTGAGGCTGGGAGTTCATGACCAGTCTGGACAACACAATGAGGTCCTGTCTCTAAAAAAAAAAAACCCTTAAAACAAAGTTTAAAAATTTTATTACTGTTTTTCTTCCTCCTCCTCCTCCCTCGTTTTTATTTTTACTTATACATTTACTTTTTACAAATTTTTAAAGTCAACATCTATAATGTTAATAATGGCTGAATCACTTCTCTAGAGCCTAATCCAGGTCTTCATTCATACTTCTCAACATTATTAAGAAAACTAGTGATGGTCAGTATTTAATTTTGTTCTTTGTGGGAGCAGGGCTTGCACTTCCTTCCAGTGCACTTGGGGTCCTTTTTGTAATTAAGTGGTGATTAAAAAAAAAAAAACAGAAGCGATTGATTAGCAATTTATAGTTCAGTTAGCTTTTCAAACCCGTAACATGCTTAAGGTATTTGTATTCTCCCTGAAGTTTCTATAGCCCTGTAAATTATTGATTTTCATTTGAACTGGAACTGAAACATTAATCTTTACACATGGAAGCTTTAACACAACATAAATAATAATTCTTTCTCCCCTCCTCCATAGTAAACTATAAGATGTTTAGATGAGTGTTTTTATTTTTTATTTATTCTTTTTGAGACAGAGTCTCACTGTGTCACCCAGGCTGGAGCGCAGTACCATGATCTTGGCTCATTGCAACCTCTGCCTCCCTGGTTCAAGTGATTCTCGTGCCTCGGCCTCTGGCATAGCTGGGATTACAGGCATGCGCCACCATGCCCAGCTAATTTTTATATTTTTAGTAGAAGTGGGTTTTGCCATGTTTGCAAGGCTGGTCTCAAACTCCTGGTCTCAACTGATTTGCCCACCTCGGCCTCCCAACGTGCTAGGATTACAGGTGTGAGCCACTGTGTCTGGCCCTAAATCAATGCTTTTAAAAAGATGATAACACTTTAGATTTGGGTGTAGTGGCTCACACATGTAATCCTAACACTTTGGGAGGCCAAAGCAGAGGATTTCTTGAGCCCAGGAGTTCAAGATCAGCCTAGACAACAAAATGAGACCCTCCCTCCCACCTCTAAACAATAAAAAAGATTATAACATTTTAAAGAAGCTTGTCAGCACTACAGATCACAGGAATGACTTGCTCATGCCACAGAAAGGTACTTTGTTTACAGCTCTGAGTTCTTAAGGTAGCTCCTGTGGCAGCATTACTGTGTCCAGGGGCACATTGTCCCCAAGCTGTCTCTCCCAGAACACTCAGTAAAGTGCACTAGGAGCCCAAGGAAATTCAGGAAGGAATGAAAAAGAGCTTTATAAGCACACCTGGAACAGAGAGAGGGGCACAGATTTTGTGGAAATCAGGACACTGATTCAGCCTCAAGCTTGCTTCTGAGTCACTGTGTGATCGTGAGTAAGTCCTTGGAATCTTGCTTGCTATTTCTTTGCGTCCTCTGCCATTAAAGAAGAAGTGACACTAATTAGTCAGAGTGTAAATGTCTCTAATGAAAGATGGTACATAATTCAGATTGGTGGTGTTACCATTCCATTATACCATTATGCTCTTAACATTACTGAGCATGAACAACATTCTTTTTATGGTCCCTCCTTTAGAACTACTGGAAGGTTGCAGACTGTGTAGCTGGGTTTTATATTTAAAACCTATCCAGAATATCAGCTGCTGCCACCAAGACCTTTTCCCTACCCACGCAAAGATTTTTGCCTTGAATCATGGAATTTATTTAATAAATTTGGTTTGCATGGTTCATGAGAGAGTCCTGGTACACAATGGAGGGATAATTAATTGCACTGCAACCATACCAGAAGGCTTTCAGAATGTATTTCTTTTTTTTTTTTTTTTTTTTTTTTTTGAGACCGAGTTTCGCTCTTGTTACCCAGGCTGGAGTGCAATGGCGCGATCTCGGCTCACCACAACCTCCGCCTCCTGTGTTCAGGCAATTCTCCTGCCTCAGCCTCCTGAGTAGCTGGGATTACAGGCACCCGCCACCATGCCCAGCTACTTTTTTGTATTTTTAGTAGAGACGGGGTTTCACCATGTTGACCAGGATGGTCTCGATCTCTTGACCTCGTGATCCACCCGCCTCGGCCTCCCAAAGTGCTGGGATTACAGGCTTGAGCCACCGCGCCCGGCCCAGAATGTATTTCAGATGGATACTGCAAGTGAAGCAGTATCCATCGGAAAAAGGAAGTTCCATTATCCCTGTTTGGTGTTTACTCATGTTTTATTGAAATAAGCAGAAATTTTTGGTTCAGAAAGAGAGATACAGAAGACTTCCATCTTAGAACTCTCTTGTTTTGTGTATGTTGTGAGATCTCAGTGCACAAGCTTAGCATAGTTCCTTCTTGCTGCCATCTCTTTCCCTGTCTCCTTTCACTTGTAAAAATCCTTCCTAAATGGCCAGGTGCAGTGGCTCATGCCTGTAATCCCAACACTTTGGGAGGCCGAGGTGGGTGAATCTCGAGGTCAGGAGTTCAAGACCAGCCTGACCAAGATGGTGAAACCCCATCTCCACTGAAAATACAAAAAATGAGATGGGTGTGGTGATGGATGCCTGTAATCCCAGCTACTTGGGAGGCTGAGGCAGAGAACTGCTTGAACCCAGGAAACTGAGGTTGCAGTGAGCCAAGATCACACCACTGCACTCCAGCCTGGGCAACAGAGCAAGACTGTCTTAAAAAAAAAAAAAAAATCCTTCCTAAATTTTGGAGTACTCTTTCCCTGAGTTTCTCAAGATCATAAAATTCTCATTATAGTGTCTTCTAAGTCATTGTTGTCCTATAACCCAGGCAAGCAATAGATACGATGAGCTCCTCCTATGTACTGGGTCTGTGTTTTCAGTACTTCCCAGGGTTGCACATTAGTACAGTTTACAGTACAGTTTACTCTCTCTCTGTCTGGAAAGGTTATTTCAGCAAGTTTTCTCTCCTAGGTGTGGATCCGTGAACCCCTTCACCTCCCACTGTGTTTTTCAAATTGTTTTTATTTCTTTGGTGCATATTATTAGCCTTTAAATCCTTTAACAATTAGTAGATCAGAAATCCAGCCTGGTCTGTGGCAGTTCTTTTCACTAGATAGTGATTTCACGGTTTTATACATAGGATATTTCAGACATGAATACTATTAATAATAATTGCTAATACATATAGCATTCACTATTTGTCAGTTACCATTCTAAGCCCTTCATATATAAGTCATTTAATCCTCACAAAACTTTATGAGTTGGGTA